GCCGCTCACTGTGGCTGCTGGCAGCTCAAACTGGCTGCCGGCTACACATGGTAGCTTATGGCAGCCCACTGCAGCAGGGGCTGCAGCCTATGCCTTCGCTGGCGACTCACAGCAGGCCAGCTCCAGGTTGAGCTGTTGTTCAGCATCTTAGCTGTGGTAGGGCAGTGTCACTGGCCCTCATATGTGGGATTCAAACCGGGGCCCTCTGGCGTCCCAATCCAGTTCTTAACCAATGCGCCACTCGGCTGGCCCCAAATATATTTCTTACTATACCATAATTACTCTATCTGAGTGATGCACATCACTCTATCTGAGATGAGGAAAAGAGCTACTTGGGAGAAAAGGAAAGAAGCGACAGGAATCGGTAGCTCTGTGGACCCTGGAGAAGCACTCTAGGAGTTAAACAGCTTAGGTTTTCATTGCTGTTCTGCCACTTACCTGCCCCATGCTTCAGTTTCTCTGTCTGTAAAATGGAGGTAATAATAGCATTACACTGGCTTCTTAGGGTTGTTAGAACTGAAGATCAGTAATTATAAAGTGTCTGGATCAGTGCAGGAAACATGTACATAGCTATTACCATCATGGATATAGCAGGTGGGAAACCCAAGTTCTAGTCCATATTCCCGGCCCCCCAGGCTTTACCTCTTAGTCACAACACCTTCTCTTAGCCTCGGTTTCCTCATCCATAAAATTAAAGTATGGGTGTTCCCACATGAGCCCAGGTCCCCTTTCTTCATAAGTCTGAATCAAATGTGACTCAAAAATTCTGTCAGGGTGTCTCGGTACTGATGCCAGTGGCAGACCGTGGAAAATCTAGCAAAGGCGCCGCCTCGGCAAGGACCAGACACTCAGTGTGAGAATCCCTGTCCAGACCTGCTTGTCCCCAGTTTCCCTTCCCGAGTTAAATGTGAGGTGGGCCTCGCAGTTAATTATTTCAGGAATTTGAGCTCAGGTTTGGAGAAAGGAGGCGCCCAGGAGCGTGGTAGCTGCAGCGACCTCCCGCACCCGAGACCGCAAGGTGCTTTCTGCCGACCAGCCGGGGCCCGCGAGGTACGTCAGGGACTGGACCGGATCGGGGGCGGGATTGGAGGTGGGATCCGGGGCGGGGTCCAGGTCGCACCCTGCTCACTCCGCCTCCGCGGCGTTGTCCAGGTTGCCCGCCTCCGCGGCAAACAGCTGCTGGGGACAGAGGAAAAGGAAGGGGTGGAGCTGCTTTGCGGCTGTCAGCTGAGCTGTCAGCCGATTGCAGCCAGGCTGATCGGGTGTCTCTAGCGCCGTCCTGGGCCTTGAGGCCATCCAGGGTCTAGACCCGCGGGGCCAGGACAGGAGGACCAGCTCAGTCTAGCAAGCCGGGCAATGCGCCTCTACGGAGTAACTGCAGGCCGGAGCCACCCCAGGTCAGGCCGGGAGCAGGAATCAAACAGGTCCTGGGGGGGCCCCAGCCTGGGGCTTCTGTGGATGGCGCTGGCGCTGGCCCTGCCAGACTCCCTGGTTCTCTGGACACCCGCTGGGGCCCACCCTCTTCCTGCCCAAGGACATCCCGCCAGGTTCAGTCGCACAGTGCCCCAGCTCCGGAGTGCCTTTGGGTGGTGGAACCTCACTTGCCCAGCCTGCAAAAGCCTGTTCACCGCCATCGACTTTGGACTGCAGGTAAGCACTAAAGGGGCTGCGGTAAAGCTACCAAAGGGGAGCGCCAGGGTGGGGGCTGGGGTCCCAAACAGCATGCCTGATGGAGAGGCTGGCATCCACAAGCCTTTACTGAATTTGATCTCCTTTAGGTACACCCGTGGCTACATGCCACCGCTGTCTCCATTGTGACCTTGTGAAGTAAGGAAAGACTGAAAATTTTATGCTGAGCACTGTGCTAGCCATTTTATATACATTGAATTAAGTCTGCAAGCTGGTTTCATTACAGCTGTTATTTCCATTTTACAATTGAATAGTCCCAGAGAGGGGACGTTCAAGGGCAGACAGCTAGCAAGGGGGAGGCTGAGACTCCCACCTGCCTGACTGAATCCCCTCTGCCTTACACTTGGCATCTCCAGCCCTGAGCACCATGCTGGGACTTAGCTACTCAAAAGGGATTTGAATTCAGAACTACCCAGGGGTGTGAGACTAGATGGGGCTGCCTTGACCCTGATGGGGTTATGATGAGTGCTAGTTGGTAGATGAGCTTTGCGGAGACCCCCAAGCAGATGAAGTCCTGCCCCTATGTGTCCCCAACCCTGGACAGTCTGTCATTGTGCCCAGCCCAAATTTCAGGGCACATTGCAGACAGTGCCTGAGAAAGCCAGCTGGGCAAGCAAAGGACTGAAATGCCACTAGCCATGGAACTGAAGAGAAAGTACTGGTCTGGTGCTACCTGAGTCACAGGACAATATCTGTGGGAAGCAGGGAGTGCACTGAGGTCCCTTCACCATGGTGGCACTGAGTCCAGCCCAGCCCCTGTTTGGATATGGAGGCCCAAAGGGTGGTAGCCAGGGGATGCCCTGGTCCCTGTGCTCTGTCTCTGACCTCTCACCACTGGGTCTTCCCACCACAGCAGGAGAACAATGTGGCCCGGGTGGGCTCTCTGGCCATCAAGCTGTGCAAGCTGCTGAAGATAGCACCGCCCACTGTGTGCCAGTCAGCTGTCCAGCTCTTCCAGGACGACATGGTCGAGGTGTGGAGACGCTCAGTACTGAGCCCATCTGAGGCCTGTGGACTGCTCCTGGGCTCCACCTGTGGGCACTGGGACATTTTTTCATCTTGGAACATTTCTTTGCCAGCTGTGCCGAAGCCGCCTCCCCAGCCGCCCAACCCGCCAACCCCAGGCGCCCCTGTCAGCCGCATCCTCTTCCTCACTGACCTGCACTGGGATAGGGACTACCTGGAGGGCACAGACCCTAACTGTGAGGACCCACTGTGTTGCCGCCGGGGTTCTGGCCTGCCACCCCCCTCCCGCCCAGGTGCTGGATACTGGGGCGAGTACAGCAAGTGTGACCTGCCCCTGCGGACCCTAGAGAGCCTGCTGAGCGGGCTGGGCCCCGCTGGACCGTTTGATATGGTGTACTGGACGGGAGACATCCCTGCCCACAATGTTTGGCACCAGTCTCGTCAGGACCAGCTGCAGGCCCTGACCACTGTCACAGCTCTCGTGAAGAAGTACTTGGGTCCTGTGCCTGTGTACCCTGCTGTGGGCAATCATGAGAGCACACCTGTCAATGGCTTCCCTCCCCCCTTCATAGAGGGCAACCACTCTTCCCGTTGGCTCTATGAGGCGATGGCCAAGGCATGGGAGCCCTGGCTGCCCGCTGAAGCCCTCCACACCCTCAGGTACTTGAGGTCCACAGAAACCTAGGAAGGGAAAAGCAAGGTGGATGAAAGTGAAGGAAGCAGGGAATTATCTGTGACTGCTGTAGCAGGAGTCCTCAGCGCTCCTCACTGACCCTCCCTAATCTGACCTCACCTTCCCTTTCCACACCTACTTCCAGCCACCCTCCTTCACAGGGCTGGCGGCATCCCCTCTCCATCCTAGACTGTATCTTTGCTCATGTTGGCCTTCTCTAGAATGGCTTCCCCTCCTGTTTAACATCCCACCTTTTCCCAACTTACCCAGGCTCACATCATCTTCCCCAAGTGCCTTCACTTCCCATTCTAGCTCACTTTTCGCTTTGCCCTCAACTCCTAGAGCCCTTAGCTCTCTGAACTGCTCTCCAGCCACTCGGGCCCTATCATCAGTGCTGTTTGGTCTTCAGCTAGAATGTGAGCTCCTTGAGGGTAGGGATGATGTTCTGTATGCCTCTGCCCTCCACCCAAATGCCTCGCACAGGCCTGGGCATGCAGGACCAGCATTTCGAGCGAGTGTTGACCCCTTATGTTCACTTTGTTTCAGAACTGGGGGGTTCTATGCCCTTTCCCCACGCCCCGGCCTCCGTCTCATCTCTCTCAATATGAATTTTTGTTCCCGTGAGAACTTCTGGCTCTTGATCAACTCCACAGATCCCGCTGGACAGCTCCAGTGGCTGGTGGGGGAGCTCCAGGCTGCTGAGGATCGAGGTGACAAGGTGAGGGAGAGTGGGAGAAGTGTGGTGGTGTAGGGGCTGAGGGTGAGGGAGCAGCAGGCTCTTCCCAGCAGACTCCTGTCTGGAGCTGGAGCACCTGTGAGCAGAGAAGCTTGATTTTCTGGTACTCCCAACAGGGTTCTCTGGGGCTTTGGCTCACTGTCCCCCTTAGAAGTCCTTTTGTTCACTCCCGCTCTCTCTGGCCAGGAATGCCAGCCAGTATAGGACAGATGAGTACCAACTATGATGGCCAGGGCTGCCTGGACCCCTTCTTGCCCTGATAACCATCCGTACCTCTCCCTGCAGGTGCATATAATTGGCCACATTCCCCCAGGACACTGCCTGAAGAGCTGGAGCTGGAATTATTACCGAATTGTAGCCAGGTAGGAGGGAGGTGGGAGTGGGGGCTTGAAGAGTCTGAAGGTTGACATTCCCTTGAACCTCTCACTATCCCTGCTGCCCCATCAGAGTGAAGAGGCTACTTACTTGACTAGGATGGAGAAGAAAGCATCCTATTTCCCCCCTCCCTAGAATCTTCAGAATATGATTGGTGTCTTCTGGCTAGGTATGAGAACACCTTGGCTGGTCAGTTCTTTGGCCATACCCACGTGGATGAGTTTGAAGTCTTCTATGACGAGGAGACCCTGAGCCGGCCGGTATCTGTAGCCTTCCTGGCGCCCAGTGCCACCACATACATCAGCCTTAATCCTGGTGAGGCGGATGGAAGCTATTGGAACAGGGGAAGTTGGTGGAATAGAAGGGGGCGGGGCCCAGGCCAGCCAGGCGCAAGGTGTGAGGCCCCTCCCTGGGAGTTGCCTTGGCTCCTTCCCTCCAGCCAAGCCCTTCCTCCTTGCAGGTTACCGGGTCTACCAAATAGATGGCAACTACTCCGGGAGCTCTCATGTAGTCCTGGACCACGAGACCTACATCCTGAACTTGACGCAAGCGAATGCACCGGGTGCCACTCCGCACTGGCATCTCCTCTATAGGGCTCGAGAAACCTACGGGCTACCCAACGCGCTGCCTGCTGCCTGGCACGACCTGGTATACCGCATGCGTGGCGACACGCGGCTATTCCAGACCTTCTGGTTTCTCTACCATAAGGGCCACCCGCCCTCCGAGCCCTGTGGCACGCCCTGCCGCCTCGCTACTCTATGCGCACAGCTCTCTGCCCGCTCCGACAGCCCTGCTTTGTGTCGCCACCTGGCGCGGGACACAAGCCTCTCTGATATCCAGAGCCTGCAGCCACGGCCACCATTCTGCTAGCTCCGAGTCGGGAAAGAGCGTTTTAGCAAAGGAGCAAAAACTCCAGGTCACTGTGGTGAGAAGGAGGTGGGTGGAAGAGCCTATCCTGGGCCCCACGCACACAAGGGAAATGGCACCTTCTCCTTTCCTGGTGCTGGTTGGGCAAGACATGGAAGGGAGTTGGCAGCTCTGCTGGGTCTGAACCCAGCATCTAGGCTACCCTGGGGCGGCTGTCTTCTCACGGACATGGAGCAGAGGTCTCAGTTGGTATTGCCCCGGATAGACCAGACATGAGCTGTCATCCCAGGCCTGTGCTGGCCAGCCAGGAACACTGTACTGCGGCTGCCGCCTGACTGCCAGCCTGTTAAAATAAAGATTTGAACTCCAGACCCCTCTGTGGCTATTCCAATTTCTTCTTTCAAGGCAGGCAAGGCAAGGGGGCCTGGGGAACAAGATGCTGAGAGCAGGCTAATGGGGGTGATGGTGTGGTGCAGGCACAGGAAGGCACACAGCTCAGCAGGGCAGACAGACTTTATTAGTGATATCAGTACAGCAGAGATGCCATGGAGCAGGGGGGAGGGAACCCATGTCTGGGCTGGTCCCCTCCTTCTGCCCCTGCTGGACCCTACAAAGATGGGGCCTGGCCTAGACCAGTTCCTCCTGCTCCACCTGAACGTGGGGATGGAGAGCCTGGGGCTGGCCTTGCTTCCTGTTCCTCTTGTCATCAATCCAGTATTGTCACTTGGAAGGATTAGGCGTCTCCTTTCCCAACCCCTAGGCAGGAAACCCAGCTAGTGCGGAGGGGCAGTTTGGGAGCGGGAGGCTGAGGCCTAAGAATAGCCTTTCGGGCCCTTCCCTGTCCCATACCCTTGAGTTCCCTGGGGCCCAACGCAAGCAGGTGGAGGGAGGACTGAGGACTTCAGGGAGTATGGGCCCCTAGGCGTTTGGGCTTGAGGGAACCCCAAAGCGACTGAACACCCCTGCGGACAGTCCACCCTACACGCCGGGCAACGGACTCAGCAGGGGGTGCTGGGAGGCAGGAGGTGGAGGCCTGGGAGCGGGCATCGAGACACTTCTGGTAGCGGAGCTGCAGAAAGGCAGGTGGGGCGGTCACTCTCCAGCCTGCCCCACTTGGGGTCGGTGCCACCACTCTACCACCCTACCCTCTTACCATGCACGCAGCCTGCACGGCTTCTGAGAGGCTGGCTGCATTAGGCTCACACCAGAACATGTGGCAGCAGAAGGAGGCTGGGCCGGCAGCCATGATGAATGCAAACGTGTGGACATCTCTGCCCACTGCCAGGAAGGAGAGGAAGCGCACCCGACACTCCCCCAGCACCGCCTCTGTCTGTAGGGAGGGAACCCAGTTAGTAAGGAACAGCCCGACTCTCTATGTTCTACTGGGCTCATCCATCTTATTGGCAGCCCCCCCCCCCCCCCCGGTCTCCGCTCCATGGCAAAGCACTGACATGCCTTCTCCCAACCAGGTCTTTACCTGCTGGTGCAAGATGGTGAGGGTGGCAGGTGCCACGCTGACGTGACTTGGGGTCCACTGCTCACGGCTGCTGGAGGACAGGACTGACTCCAGGGCCCCGTTTATCACATCTACCCCTAGAAGATATGGACACAAACATGGCACCACTGGGGGTGGGGAGAGGACACCCCCGTTCTACCCTCGCTTTTGTAGCTCTGCTCAGTCAAGCCCAGGGCCTCTGCTCCACCCCCATTTCAGCAGCCTACAGCCCCCAACGGTGCTGCGCAGATGTCCCTTCCTTGGTGGTTTCCTCCTTGGCTTCAGCAACTTGGCACTTTTCTGGTTTCTTCCGTCTTGAATCCTAGTCTTGGTTTTCTTCCTTCAGCCTCCTAAACAGATGGACCTCCTGAAGCTCTGACCTCCCCGTGTCTTGCTTCCAGTGCTCATCCACCTTCAAACTTTGCACTGCTTCACAGAATAATGACTCCCAATCGCCCCTCAGGCCAGTCCTCTCCCAAGACCCAACCTTTGTTTCTTTAAAAATACTCATTTGAAGAAATGTTTACTCTCTGTCACACTGTTAAATCTCACAACAGATTCTGTGATCATCACTTTATAGGTAAGGAAGCTTATAGAAATTAGGTAGTAAACCTTAGGTCACATGGAGGAACGGGGATCCTAACACAGGCAATCTGCTTCCAGCGCCTGGGTTCTTAGCCAGGCCTTTCCCCTGACTTTTCTCTATTTTGCTAGCTTCCAGAACTCGGAGGGCTATCACATTCTTAGCTGCACTCTATAATTTCTATAATGTGCTCAAAGGCCAAGGAACCCAAGGTTCCTAGCTTTTAGATCCATCAACTTTCCCTTGTAACACAGTGGTTTCCTCCACTCATGCGTCCCACGTCTGCTTGCACTCAGTGGAGAACCCAGGTGATGATAGCACATTGCATGACGGAGGCATGGGTTCCAGTTCCTGCACCGCTGAGGAGCTGGCAGTGTGATCTAGGTGTCTTCCCCCTTGCAGCAGAGGTCAGAGTGAACAACGTCAATGCAAAAGCACATGCCTCTATGGTCCCTCCCAGGCCCTCTTGCCTCTTTCAGTTCCTCTGGGCTCCTATTAGAAGCAGACCACATGGACGCTTTGCGAACAGAGGACAAATATCTTCCTCGAAAGTCCTCCCTCATCTTGGCCTTGCTCATCTTACTTCTGGCTGGATCAAGGCCAAACTCCCAAGCATGCAAATCCTCCAAAAACTAATCTCATCTGAGCTGTCAAGCCTCATGTTTTACTGCTCCCTGAGTTTCAAATGACTTATGTCGCATTTATAATATTAACATCTCATCTTGGCAAATGCCCTTCGAGACAGGTGGGGAATACAAAGTAAGAAAAGAGGATGCCCTCGAGGGACACATACTGTCACTAAGGGAAAAGCCTGTCTGTAGTGCCCTTTCCCCCTTGATTGTCTTTGAAACTCCATTTTCATCCTTCAGGGTTCACCTGTGCCCCACCTGGGAAGCCTTCACTGCTGCAGGGCAAGGGGAGGGTGTCGCTGGGACAACTCTTAGCACAACACCTTGTAACTGCCAAAAAACCTTTTCCATACTGGGCTGGCCATCTCAAAGGCAAAAACCAAGTTTAATTCATCTCTGTGTCACCAATCCCAGGACAGAGCTTATCTACTGAAGGATGCATAAGCAAGTCACCCTCAAGGCAACATGTGTGCCCAAACCGGTATAACCAAGTAAACTGGGAGTCCACAGAAGGGTGGATGCAGGCAGGAACGTGTGGGCCTGGTCAGATTACAGAAGGCTGTGGTAGTTATGACATTGAGGCCAGTCAATGGGAAGTCTGAAAGATCATGCGTGGATGAGACAGCAAAGTCAAACTGTTTAAGAAGCAGGTGGGGCTGTGGGGGTGGAGCCTGGACTCAGAGTGTGGGGGAAGATCAGCATGGAGTTGGGGGAAACAATAGAAGAACAAAGCCTGAGTTGGTAACAACTCAGGACTGAAACCTACACCCTGGCCCCTAGCCCTGCACTCCCAATCCCCTTTATCCTGCTGTGCATTTTTTTTTCATATCAATTGTTGCCTTCCAACATACTATGCTATATAATTTACTTATTTTATTGTCTGTCTGCCTTGGCTAGAATGTCAGCTACGAGGTGTGATCAAACAATACAGTGAATGTTTACATTTTAAAAATTATTACAGCAAAAGACACATTGCCATTAACCCTCTTCAAAATAGTCCCCTTCGCTTCAAACACACTTATCCCATCATTCTTGCCACTTTCTGAAGCAGTTCTGGAAGTCCTTTTTCATGAGTGTCTTTAGTTGCACTGTCGTGGCTGCCTCGATGTCCTGAATCATTTTGACTTTGGGGAAGAGCCAGAAGTCACACGGTGCCAGATCCGGTGAATAAGGTGGATGAGGACACACTGTAATGTTTTTATCTGACAGAAATTGCCCTACCATAAGCGATGTGTGACTCGGAGCATTGTCATGATGGAGGATGATATACAGCACACTTTAAAATACACCTTCTCTCAACCATAGCTCACACCCAACTGACTACACTGAACAAGTTGAAACTTGTCACACGCTGTTACTAAGGTTTGATGTGCTGCTTCCCATATTGAAGATCCCTGCCTTTCGTTGGATGGCACTTGGCAGCAGCATTCCCCGTATTTTGTGAACACAACAGAAAGGCTCTGTGTCATGCATCACTTCTGGTATGGCAATTTCTGTCAAATAAAAACATTAAGGGCCAGCCGAGTGGCTCAGTTGGTTAAGAGTGTGAGCTCTGAGAGCAGGGTCGCCGGTTCAATTCCCACATGGGACAGTGAGCTGCGCCCGAGTTGAGTTGCCACTGAGCTGCCAATAGGTGGCAGGATGGCTCAGCTGGTGAGAGCACGTGCTCCTGACAACAAGGTTGCCAGTTCAACTCCCACATGGGGTGGTGGGCTATGCCCACCTGCAACTAAGATTGAACACGGCACCTTGAGCTGAGCTGCCCTGAGCTGCCGACGGGCGGCCGAATGGCGACTGGACTTGGGAGCTGAGCTAGCTGCGCCCTCCACAGCTAAGACTGAAGGACAACTTGGCTGTTCCCCTTCCCCAATTCCCCAACACTTCCCCTTCCCCAATAAAATCTTTAAAAACAACAACAACAACAAAAAAGAAACATTTAGGTGTGTCCTCATCCACCTTATTCACTGGGTCTGGCACCGTGTGACTTCGGGCTCTTCCCCAAAGTCAAAATGACCATGAAAGGTAAATGCTTTGAATTGATTTAGGATTTCGAGGCAGCCATGAAACAACAGTGTAACAAAAGACAATCACGAAAGAGGACTTCCAAAACTGCTTCAGGAAGTGGCAAGAACAATGGGATAAGCGTGTTTGAGGCGAGGGGCGAGTATTTTGAGGGGGATTCATGGCAATGTGTCTTTTGCTGTAATAATTATTTTTTATTTAAACATTCACTGTATTTTGTGATCACCCCTCATACTTGAAGGCAGGAATCTTTGTCAGTTTTGTTCATTAATGTATACCAAGAACCTAAAATAATGTCTGGCACAAACCAGGCAGTCAGTTGTCATTTGTTGAGTCGATGAATGATTAGCAAATGAATACTGCAGCTTCAGCAGGGGTCAATGTTAAACTCCTGGAGGTTAAAAAAGGAGGTTAAAATAAGATAAAGCAGGAAGTGAGCTTAGAGCCTACTGGTGTGAAAGCCATGGCTTTAACAGAGCAGACCCACTGAGCTGATGGGCAGCAGAGGGGCAGCCGGAGGTTGCAGACAGATGATTCAGGGTACTGAGAACCTGTGTGGAAGGTGGTGGATGGATACAGGAGTAGAGGTAATAACTGGAAGGGGCAACTAGGGTTTAGAAGTTGAGGGTGGGAAGGAGGAAATGAGAGCAAAGGTGTAGGGCTCAGCCAAGTCTCTTTCCTGCTCCCTCAGCATATTTCTCTCACCTCCAGCTCCACGTCTGTGGCAGTGCCATTGAATCCAACTGGAATACCTACCCACTCCTCTGTAAATCCAGGCCTTCCTTCAAAGCCCAGTTCAATCTCCACACTTTCTAAGAAGGGTTCCCTCATTGAATGGAAGGTGCTGGTCATTCAAGTCAGCATGGTTTGAGGAGAAAAGCAGAGAACTGAAGATGACCAGGGTTTGAGTCCTAGGTCTAATATCTCCTGGCTACGTCATCTCATTCATTCCTTCATTTGTTGGTTTGTTTAGCCATTCACCAAACATTGTTGAGTTACTCCTCAGTGTGTATTGACATGACACCTACCACTTCTTAAAGCAGTCGCTTTTTTTCCTCTGGCTTCTGTCCTGCTCTCACCATCCTTGGCAGTTTCCTCCTCCTCTGCCATCCATTAAACGTTAGAGGGCCTCAAAGCTAGGCCTAGCCTCATTTCCCTTCTCACTGCAGGCTGACCCCTTTCTGGGGTCAGTCTTCTCCACATTCAAGGCCTTGATAACCTCTATAACCAAATGATGCTCTCACACTGTACCTCCAGTCCAGACGTCTCCTCTATGAATCTAACCGCCTACTTGAGTTTGCCACTCAGCTTCCTCAAGGTACCTCAACTCTGCACGTTTAAAACTGAACTCACAATCTCCACATCAAAAACTGGCCTCTTCCAGTTGTCTGCTACCTTTAGAGAATGGCACCACTCTCCACTCCGTTCCAAAAGCCAGGGTGACAGGAGTCATCCCAGGTGCCTCTGTCCCTTACTCCACATTCAATCAATCACCAAGGCTTGTTGATCTCAATGGTCTAAATAGCTCTTGAATCTACACAGTCCTCTTCAGCTCCACCAGAGTCCAGGCTGTTCTCCATCCTGGCCACTGCTACTGCAAGACCCTAACTGAGTTCCCTACACCCACCTCCACCGACTGCACACCTTTCTACACAGTACAACCAACGTGAGCATCATGAAATTCAAATCTGATATTTCAAGTGCTCTCCTGCTGTAGCTCCTGGATGCCCTTAGGATGAAGAACAAATGGTTAACATGGCCTGTGAGGTCGGTCCCACACGGTCTGACCACTGCCCAGCTCCCAGCCTAATCTGGCACCACTGGCCTTCTCTCAGTGCCTTTGAAGCATAACGTGCCTTCCGCTCTGGGTCCTGAAACACACCGTTCACTCCACCTGGAATGATCTTCCCCTACCTTACTCCCCCCTCCGTCCTGCTTTACCACATTAGCACCTCTTCATTTTCTGACCTCAGTTCAAATGTCACTTTCTCAAGGAAGTCTTTCTGACTCGCTGGACTAAGTGAGGTTTCTCTGTTACATAGGTTCGTAGCACCTCACTTCTTTCTTTCAATGTTTGACTCAATTTGTAATTTTACATTTACTTGTGTGATGATTTGATTAATTCCTGTTTTTTCTACTATAACCTCCATGAAAGCAGGACAATGGCCGCTGTTCTCCCAGGACCTAGCACGCGGTAGGCTTCATAAGTATTTGCTAAGTGAATGAACAAATAAATAACAGGTACTGTGAATTCACTGAAATATGAGTGAACCAGATAGTCTCTACCGTCAGTTTCCTTACCTATAAAATGGGGATTATCATAATCACGACCTCATGGGATCATCAAGAATTAAATGACATAATATATAAGGAAGTACTTTACAAGCAATAAAGCACATGACAATTGTGCTCACTGCTTCCTCTGTAGATGCTCACAGCCCATAGTTGGTGCTGTAATACCAAACCCAGCTCCCGGCTGCTGCCTGTTATCCCCAGTCATCTAAGATCTGCCTTCTAATGCAACCAAAGATTTTCCATTGGATTTAAGAGTGGGTCTCCCGAAGTGCCTGGTTCACTAGTTCACACTCAATGAAGGCATGCCAGCTGCTTACTGGCAGGACACAGAGTGCAGCTGGGACAGAGGTAATGGAGGTGGGACGCATTCTGAAGGGCAAGGTGACATCAAGCATGAACACGATCTGGTACAAGAGGCGTTGGGAGGCAGAGGGTGGGGGCAGAGCTTTGGGATCAAGGTGGTGGTCCCTGGATGAAAGAGGACAGCACATACCAACAGGTTTGGCAACAGGCACATTCCCCAGGTAATAGACTTGGAACTTCTGTACCAGCTCACTCTTGGGCGCTGGGAATTCCACTGTGGGAAAGCAGAGGGGGATCAATCGTGCTGGCAGATCTCGCTCACTCCCAGTTCCCACGACCGCAGCATAAGCAGGACGTTTCAGCCAAGGTCCTACCTCCATCCCCCGACCCTGCCTCCCTTTAACCAACATCCCTCCACTTATTTGGTCCAAAGAATTTAGTCTCTATGGGCCCGTTTTTCTTTCATGTCTGTCCAGTAGCTCATGTCTCTTTTCGGGTCACCCCACCTTTGCCAAAAAAGCTAAACTGGACCTGGTGAGGTTATGACACTGACCTTGAAACGGGACATCCACAAGTTTAGAGTGGTCCAGGGAGAGTCCATTTACCAAGCAGCGGGCATTGCGCCGTTCGGCCATAATCTGAGGAAGGGAGGAACAGGGGGAAGGATCGAGGGAGGGTCTGTTAGGGTTCCTAGGCCGGGGTCCCCCCACCCCACACTCAGTGACCCCACCCACACCCTTGTAGAGAAAAGGTGGCGGCTAGTCCAGGGAGTGGAGGGGGCCGTGCCTTAGAGCAGATCTCATGCAGGCTGGTGGCGATGTTCTTGGCGGGTGCCTCACAGCGAAACACGTGGCACTTGAGCATCTGGGTCAGCTTATCTCGCGCTACGTAGGCAAAGTCCCTGTTGGGGGAGGGGTATCTCAGTGTCTCCCAGGGCCATCCCGTGCTGAGCCTCGTCCCCACCCCATCCACACCCTCCCTGTCCATCGCAGCTCCTCTAGGGCTTCTGCCCTCAGATGGTGTCCTGTGGGTGCTGCCTTCGGTCTAGGCGGCAGACAGGTATGCATGCGGAGGTGAGGGAGAATGGGTGAGCATAGCGGACAGGAAGGGGCAGGGCAAAACAGGGGAACTTGGGTGCTTCGAGGCATTGGGTCCAGGTGTGGGCGGAGGAAGGAGGTAAACAGGTGTAGTACCTCTCTCTGGGTCCGGCAGCACAAGAGAGGCAAAGAACAGAGTTAGGGAGGAGGGCCCCACTCTGGCTGCTGGATGAGCCCCCACCCTAAGATCCCAGGCCCTGCGCCCACCTTCCACTGTCCCGCCCGACGCCCCACACTCGAATGCTGACGATGGGCTGGGCATGCAGCAGGGCCTGACTCTGAGGCTCCACCAGCTTTAGCGTCTCGTCCTCCAACTGGAGCAGCAGATCCTTTCCCTGCAGGCCCAGGAAGTAGGCACTCAGTGATGCCCCAGCTGGGCAGGCAGCTGAGCTCCACCACCTCTAGCTCGGGGGAAGTCAGCTACAGCTCTGGGATCCTTGCTTGGGTGTCAGATCACCCACCCTGCAGGCTGCATTCAAGTAAAGGTCACACCTGTCATCTCTTACTCCTCTTATCACCCCCCAGAGGTTAGACAACCATCACCCAAAGTCCCCACCTGGGGTCACACATCCACTCACAGGGCTATCACTTGGGGGGGGACAACACCTCCCTCCCCCAGCCTCCACCTGAGCAGCTCTGCTCTCCCACCTCTCATAGTTCCCTTCACTTCTCCACTGTATCACTCCCCATGAGCCCAGGCCCTCACCTCCCCCCAGCCCCCAGACATGGGGTCATGCAGATTGTTTTTGTGGTAGCAGAGCTGACGGATGCAGTTGTTGACAGCCACACTGCTGCGTCCAGGGGCCAGCTCTTCCTCAGTCATCTCCACCCAGCCTAGGGAGCGCACAGCGAAACACTGCCAGACACAGAAGAGGGGGTGGGAGGTAGAGGATCTGAGCTACAACTGGAGGAGCCCCCAGCACAAGACACAGGGGGCTTTGCTGAGACCAGAGAAGTCCCTGACTCAGGTTGTGGTGGGTGGGAGGGTGTTCTGAGCTAAGACCGAGAAGCTCCCCAAACAGGATATACTTGGTGGGAGGGATGATGGTTTCAGAAGAGACCCCTGCTAGTACAAGGAAGCACCTGAGCGAGGCCTGGAAGGGCCCCCTGTCAGGCCACTGAGCTGGTTGAGTTAAAAACTGAAGTGGAAGTGCCTGGGGGAGCTTCTAACTCAGGACCTGGCAGGAGCTGTACTGAGACCAGAGATGCCGCCCAGAACGTGACACGAGGAGCTCTCCTGCACACAGAGGGCCCAGCCCAGGGAATGGGCATTGGTCTTGAACAAACCTTGATCCCCGGGTTGGCACTCCTTTGGGGCAGCTTCTCTTCCTCTTGGGGCAATGGCTCTGGGCTAGAGGCAGATGGTAACACTTGGTACAGGCCCCCAAACATGGAGCTGTCCCGAGGCCCTTTCCAAATAGATCCATCCCCCTGTGGGCACACTGCATGGTGCCTTCCCACTCACCTGAGGCTCTGGGCTGGGAAGGCCAATGTCCCCTCCTCAGGGTCCTTCAGTCCCAAATCCATTGGGGCCTCCTCACTGGGTTCATCCTTGAGAAAGGGAGAGAGGAATCAGGACCAAACCCCTTCTGCAGCTCCCCGACTGTGAAGCAGGTCCACCTCCCTCCCGCAACTCACCTTCCAAAATTCTCCATCCTCAAAGCCTTCTCCATGGGCAAAGCCTGTCCAGGTGAGCTGGGAAGAGGGGCAGGACTGATGAATGGGCCACTCCCCTTGCTCCAGCAGCACCACCCCTGCAACCCAGTTAAAACACAACAGGCCTGTGAGCCTTACCTGGGATTCCTCCCGGGGGCTGCTCCCCTGTGATGGGGAGGCCCGGCCTGGGGGCTCCCACTGGGTGGTCCCTGTTGGGATGTGCCAGTAGTAGGTCCCTGAGGTGTCCTGAACTCTCATCCATCCAGCCGGCAGGTCGGAATCCGTCTCGAAGGCGTTGGGGTTCCAGAAAGAATCTGCCAGGTGGGGGGCTTGGTGAGGGTCTGGCCCACCCACCAAGGAGAGAGCAGACGCTTATGCCCAGTCCCCACCCTGAGACCCCATGGTGGAGAAGAAGAGGTGGGGGAAGGGCTCCAGCCCAACACGATTCCTGCTTTCTCCTAGAGCCCACAGTGTGAGGTCACAACATGGGGGGCCACCAGCAGGGGACATGGCTCAGGTCTCCTCCTGGGCCCTGCTCCTAGCTAATGTAGCCACACAGAGGGAAGAAGAAAGGCAGAGAGAAGGGAGGTTGGGTGACCCCAATTGACCTCCTGTCATACTTATCTGTATCTCAAGTGCACATACTTACCAGCTCCTGCACACACATGTACACGCAGACACACAGCACATACAAGCTCTACTACACATCTGGGCAGCCACCAAAAACACAAGGGTCTGTACACACCAAGTCCAGCCACACGCTAATGCGGACACCTTACACAGAGGTGTGCACACACACAGCTATATATACCAGCCCCTGCCACACACATGGGCAGAGACCACACCCACAATGACCCCCAACACCTGTGTGGGTACCACACAGTGAACGCACACTCAGACACACAACATACGTCAACCTCTGCCACGTGTGTGCAGACACCACAGACGCTCACACCCTGACCCTTGCCACACAGATGCAGGCAAACATTTCGTGCACATGCATGCGTACCTCGAACCTGTGACAGACACCCCTCCTCCCGTGGCCGACCACACCACTCCAGCCCTGCGGCCCAGCTCATGCCTCCTCCCCCTCTGCGCTCCCTGCCAGCCCCGCTCCACGTCATGCCCAGCCCCGTGTTACCCCTCACCTGGGCTGCTGTCGTGCAGGATGATGGCCAGGAAAAAGTCCTGGGAGAACATGGCGCTCGTTCCCAGCCCCTCCTGCCTCCACCCTCCCTCCTCACAGCCCCTCCAGTCCAGCCAGCTGGGCTCACAGCCTGGTGCTGGGCTGCAGAGAAAAGCTCATCCCGCCCCCTTCTCACCAGGGCAGAGCGACTGCCAGGCGAGATCCTCCCCCGCCGGGAGCTCACTAGGAAGGGGCCAGGACCACCAGGGGAGAAGACCTCCTCGGGGTGGGGAGGGGGTGCGGCTCATGAGACCCTAGCCCTTCCTACTCACATCTCTTCTTTCTAATCCTGGCTCCCCTCCCCCAAACCCAAATCTCTATCCCACCCCACAGTGGTCACCTCAGTGTCACAGTCAAGCCCAGTCTTAGGGACACCAGGAGGCTGAGCCCCTCGGGAATACCCCAGCCACCTGGGGCCCTACAAAACCTGGAGCTCTCAGCACAAACAGGGTGTGGCTTCAAGGCTCCCAGGGATGCCTCCTCTCCCAGGAACCTGCCCAGCAGTTTGAGCCTGAGAGTGGGCCTTGAGAGCATGGGCCCCAGCAAGCTTGAGGCTGGGCTTGGGGCTCCCGGCACCAACCCCCCTCACCTGCCAGGGCCCAGCAAGGCTGCAGCGTCTCCTCGGCAACCGCAGCACCAGGACTGGCTGGGAGCGCCCAGACTGCTGACGTGCTTCCCGTTACCAGGGAAACCAGGAATCCTGACTGGTCCAAGAGGCAGCACTGAAGGATAGGCAGTCCCCAGACCCAGGCTGCTGAGCAACCAGGCACAGAGGGGCTGGGAGTGGGCGTGGTTACACCAAGGTGGCTGAACACCTGAGGTGAGAGTCATTTGGGCAGGTGCCTCACCACTCTCACCTTCCAAATGAGGTGGGCCCACTGAGGAGGGGCCCTACCTGCCCATCAGCCTTCCAGGCAGCCATTCCCACCTCTTCTCCCCTCACCTCAGGCCCTAGGGCACCAGAATGCCTTCTCTTCCCCAGAGATCTTCTACTGCCTCCCAGGCTCTACTGCCACACCTTCCAAGAACACCAGCACCCAGGACAGCCATGCCCTCCGCAGCCACACCCTTCTTCATGAAGGTCATACACCTCTCAAATCTGGGGACCAGTTCACCGTCGTCTCACTGAGTCACACACACCCATCCATCTGCCATCCCTGTCAGCCTGTACCTTCGTGCTTCAAAGAGCTTCTTCCTTCCGCTCTGTCCTGGAGGGGCCGCTCTCCTGCCCTGACCATCTGGGAGGCCCTTCTGGAGCTTGGCACGTCTCCCCCAAACAGAGCCCCACCCAGGCCTGTGCTTCCACATGCATGCATTTCTTCAGAAACATACACCTTCATTCCTGCACCGAGTCACTCAGGCACTCGCACACAAATTCAAAGGTTCAGATATCATTCCTTCATTCATTCATCCATGCATGCTTTCGTGGCAAAGCCAGGTGTAGTCACTTGCTCAGGAGTCAGGGACTCCCATCATGTCTCCTTTTCTCCACCCTCACATCACTGCCATAGCCCAAACTACTAGTTTTCTTACCTGGGCCATTGCAACAGCCTCACAGTGGTCTCCCTCTCGTCTAGTCTCCTCAGGTCTGGGCTGCACACTATAGTCTAAATGATTGTTCTGAAATGCTTAACTAATGAAGTTACTCTCCGGTTTAATACTCTTATCTTCTCCTTGCCCTCGGGATAGAATCCAAATTCCCCCACAGGGTTTGTGCGCTATCAGGCGCCCTTATCCATCTGCCTCTCAGACCACCCCCAGCTGCCACCCCCCTCCCTGCTTGGGGCACGCCCCTCATCCTCTCTGAGCCCAGCCTCCCGCCCCTTAATCTTCACCTGGGGTCACCAACTCCTCCTTCAGGCAAAGTCACTTCTCAAAACTGACCCCCCCCACC